GGGCCTGCCCAGGTTTGAGGCCAGGAAGGCGGTGCTGGTGGCGCTGAAGGAGCGGGGACTGTTCCGTGGCATCGAGGATAACCCCATGGTGGTGCCACTTTGCAAGTGAGGGTTGGGGCCAGAGGGGGAGGGGCTGCTCAGGGTGCTCCCCACCCAACCTCCCCACCCAACCTCCCCACCCACCCATGTGACCCTGCAGCCGGTCCAAAGACGTGGTGGAACCTCTGCTGCGGCCACAGTGGTATGTGCGCTGTGGGGAGATGGCCCAGGCCGCCAGTGCTGCCGTGACTCGGGGTGACCTCCGAATCCTGCCTGAGGCCCATCGGCGGACTTGGCATGCCTGGATGGACAACATCCGGTGCGTTAAGCCTCTTGATGTGGGGCAGGTGGCTGGGGGCTGAACCCGGCACAAGCCAGGGCACCTCCCTACCCCATGGCTCCACTTACCCTCGCCATTGGCAGGGACTGGTGCATCTCCCGGCAGCTGTGGTGGGGCCATCGCATCCCAGCCTACTTTGTCACTGTCAACGACCCAGCGATACCTCCTGGGGAGGTGAGAACTGGGCCAGAGCTAGACGCTGGCACATCGGGGGGAGCTGTGGGTGTGCTGGGTCCTTGGTGGGGGGCAGGGTCAGTGTGCCCCTTGGATGCTCACTCCACCTGTGGTAGGACCCTGACGAGCGATACTGGGTGAGTGGGCGCAGCGAGGCCGAGGCTCGTGAGAAGGCAGCCAAGGAGTTTGGTGTGTCCCCTGACAAGATCAGTCTCCGGCAAGGCAAGGCAGGGCCTCGGGGGTTAGGGGCAAAGCTGGGGCTCTGATCCCCACCCCTGCCCACTCTGACCTCTGACCTTTGGCTTTCCTCAGATGAGGATGTTTTGGATACGTGGTTCTCCTCTGGTCTCTTCCCCTTCTCCATCCTGGGCTGGCCCAACCAGGTACGTCCCTGAGGCCAGCCCTGGTGGGGTGGAGGTCTTGGAGGTGGGTGCTTGGCTCCCTAACATGCCCTGCTTTGCCCCCAGTCAGAAGATCTGAATGTGTTCTACCCAGGGACACTGCTGGAGACGGGCCATGACATCCTCTTCTTTTGGGTGGCCAGGATGGTTATGCTGGGCCTGAAACTCACCGGCAGGCTGCCCTTCAGAGAGGTGGGAAGCCTGCTGAGATCCCTCCCACAGTCACCCCCTCACCTGGCCTCCTGTGCCACAAGCTCAGGCTCAGCATGGACAGGGCACAGGGCAGGGCCCATGGGCAGCTGTGGGTGCGCTTGTGGGGGCTGAAAGCTACCCGGGATCTGCTCGGTGATTCTGTGCCTGGGCTTCCCAGAGGAGAGAGCGTGCCTGTAAGTTACAGGAAGGTGCTGAGTGGTCTGGCAGGACACTGAGGGGTCTGAGGCCCAGAGTGGGACAGACCAGATGCAGGACACTGGGGCTGCAGTGGGGTCTGGGCAGGGAGACGCAGCCTCACGGGCCTTCCCCGCCTCACAGGTCTACCTCCATGCCATCGTGCGAGATGCCCACGGCCGGAAGATGAGCAAGTCTCTGGGCAATGTCATTGACCCCCTGGACGTTATCCACGGAGTCTCCCTGCAGGTGGGACTGGGTGCTAGGCCAGACCAGGAAGGGCTGCAGGGCTGTGGCCACAGACCCCTGACCACTCCCTCCTCATCCTCAGGGCCTTCATGACCAGTTACTGAACAGCAACCTGGATCCCAGTGAGATGGAGAAGGCTAAAGAAGGGCAGGTACAGAGGCTGGGGCCCGGGCTGAGTGTGGGCAGAAGGAAGGGGGCTGGCTCAGGACTCGTGCTCCGACTCCTCCCTGCAGAAGGCTGACTTCCCGTCGGGGATTCCCGAGTGTGGTACCGATGCCCTCCGGTTTGGACTGTGCGCCTACACGTCCCAGGGTATGGAGAGCCCCCAGATCCTGTCAGCCCCATCCTTCCTCTCTGCCCTGGATGAGGGCTGGGAAGGAGGTGGTGAGGACACACACTTCACCTGCACCCAGGTCGTGACATCAACCTGGACGTGAACCGGATACTGGGATACCGCCACTTCTGCAACAAGCTCTGGAATGCCACCAAGTTTGCCCTCCGTGGCCTTGGGAAGGGTTTCGTGCCCTCACCTACCTCCGAGGTGAGGACCTGGTAGGCGCAACATGGCCAGCACCCGTGCAGGCTGCACCCCTCTACTCGGGCATCAAGCATGGCCCATGCTGTGGAAGGGCTGCAGCCACTGAGGTGGGAGGCCCAGCCCCTGCCCCTGAGCAGCCTCCATGTGGGAGGTGGGAGGGACAGAGAGTTACAGGGAAAGCCCACGACATTGGGGTCCTCCCCACAGCTATTGGGCACGTGTGGCTTCAGGCTCCTGGAATGCAGATTTGCCCATGGTTCCTGCCTCTGGGGGTTCTGGCTCCCTCCCCCTGGGTGTCTGCTCCCCTTGGCCGCTGGTTGATCTCTGCCCCTCCCCCCAAGCCTGGAGGCCACGAGAGCCTGGTGGACCGCTGGATCCGCAGCCGGCTGACTGAGGCTGTGAGGCTCAGCAACCAAAGTTTCCAGGTCTACGACTTCCCTGCTGTCACCACCGCGCAGTACAGCTTCTGGCTCTATGAGCTCTGTGATGTCTACCTGGTGAGGAGCCGAGTGGGGTGGGGGCAGCAGAGCCTTGGGCCTCCCTTTTCCAGGGGTTGGCCGTGAGACCTGAGCCCCCTGCCCCTCTGCCAGTCATCACAGGCACAGTGAGGGCTGGAGGCCAGACCTTTCCCAGCCCTGAGCCCTGTGCCTCCCTGTCCCCTAGGAGTGCCTGAAGCCCGTGCTGAATGGGGTGGACCAGGTGGCCGCTGAGTGTGCCCGCCAGACCCTCTACACCTGCCTGGACGTTGGCCTGCGGCTGCTTTCACCCTTCATGCCCTTTGTGACCGAGGAGCTGTTCCAGAGGCTGCCCCGGCGGGTGCCGCACGCACCCCCTAGCCTCTGTGTTACCCCCTACCCAGAGCCTTCAGAGGTACGGCTTTGGCCTGGAGGCGGGCTGCGACCTGATCCCACTGGCCTCCTTACCCCTTCCTTTGCTCACAGTGCTCCTGGAATGACCCTGAGGCAGACACTGCCATGGAGCTGGCCCTGAGCATCACACGAGCCGTGCGCTCCCTGCGTGCCGACTACAACCTCATCCGGATCCGGCCTGACTGTGAGCCTCAGGCCCCCACATGCACCCGGTCCCTGGGTCCACTCCAATATGGCTGCCTTGTCTCCTGTCTCCTTCGGGCCAAGCCTCACCTTCTTCCCTCCCCTGCAGGTTTCCTGGAAGTGGCAGACGAGGCCACAGGCGCCCTGGCATCGGCAGTGTCGGGCTACGTGCAGGCTCTGGCCAGCGCAGGTGTAGTGGCTGTCCTTGCGCTGGGGGCTCCCGTACCCCAGGGCTGCGCTGTGGCCCTGGCTTCCGACCGCTGCTCCGTCCACCTGCAGCTGCAGGGGCTCGTGGACCCTGCCCGCGAGCTGGGCAAGCTGCAAGCCAAGCGTGGTGAGGCGCAACGGCAGGCCCAGCGTCTGCGGGAGCGCCGTGCTGCCATAGGCTATGCAGCCAAGGTGCCCCTCACAGTCCAGGAGGCAGACAAGGCCAAGGTGTGTGGTATGGGCGGGCGTTTCCCCCCACTTCACACATCTCAAATCCTGTCCTATGGCTGCACTGCTCAGCCCCAGGCAGTCCATGGGGGGCAGGGAGCTGAGCAGGTGGGGAGCAGCAGGGTGGGGGCACAGCCCAGTTCCCACAGCAAGGTGAAGACGGGGCAGCCTAGAACCAGGTACCCTGCCTCCCAGTCAGACCCCTCAGGCAGCCATGGGTCAGAACTTGGCTTCTCATATGCCTGGGGTGGGGCTTGGACAGCATACAGACGGGGAGCCCTCCAGGAAGGAACAGTGCATAAACCACACAGAGAAACGGCAGTGCAGGCTGAGCTAGAGTCCTGGAGGCTGGGTGGGGTCACTCACTGGATTCTCCCAGTAGCCCTCTCCAGGCAGGCAGCATTACTCTCACCATTTTACCAGTGAAGGTGAAATGCTTACCTAGCAGCCTGTGTACCTAACCTCTGTGCTCTGTCCCCCCCAAGGTGGGGGCTGGGGCTGAGCCTCTGGGTGGGGCCCGGGGCTCTGAAGCGCCTTTGTTTTTGAGGACTGACCACTCTGGGAAAAGGCAAGACCCAAGAGCCCAGCTGATGGAGGAGAAGGGGGTTGCTGATGGGGTGGTTGCTGAGAATTTGGGGGATGGTCCAGCCAGGCACACACAGTCCCCTAACTACTCCCTGCCTGTACGCCTCACCTGCCTTTCCTCCTCTGACCCCTCTGCCATGGTGGGCATTTGGGGGGTCTTCTCTCTTTTGGGCCCGGGTCCTCATCACTCACTACCCCTTGTTCCACCCCCAGCTCCAACAGACAGAAGCAGAGCTCAGGAAGATGGATGAGGCCATCTCCCTATTTCAGAAGATGCTGTGATACACCAACTCCAACCCTCATAACCCCCAGTGGTCCACCAGGGGGGTGACAGCAATAAATATTTTGCCACAAAACCATCTCTTTCTGTGTGTGTGGTGGGGCTGGGTTTCTGACTCCTCAGTGGCAGCCGGTATGAGCAATGGGAGGGCTGCTGGCTGGGCGAGGCACCAGGCCCTGGTGGGCAGAGGTGCATCCGCCTGGGCCTGTCCCTGGCACCCGGCCAGGCCTGAGTCACGCTGCGCTGCTGGCTCCATTCCTCCTGCCTCTTCACTCACCTCCACACTGCAGCCAGGGGAGGCCCGCCCTGCTGCAGGCTGCTGCCTGTGGCTTCGGGCAGGCATGAGTGCGGGGGGCCAGAGGCCGAAGTTCTGCCCCAGGCCTGCTGGGCCTCCGTCCTCCTCCCCCGAGTCCTGCTCAGGTTAATTATAACCCTGACCTAAGTGCCCTGTGACGCCTCGCCCTGCAGCCCTGCCTGGAGATCCAGCCACCAGGTAGGGGAGACTTCCTATGCCTGGGGGTGTCAGACTGGGTGGGGAGATGGATCCTGGGGGATGAGCTCCGGCCTGGAGCAGGTAAGGTACTTGAGGCAAGGCAGAAGGGGTCCAAGCAGGTGTTCATGGAGACAGCTGGACACGCCCTGGAATTGCCACTCTTTCCTCCTCCCTTGAGAGCTTTCTGTCCCCCAGGTCCATGTCTCAGCTATGCTCCCCACCAACGTGCCCCTATCCCACCTGGGCCCCTCAGCGCTACTGCTGCTGCAGCTTCTGCTGCCCCCCACATCTGCCTTCTTCCCCAACATCTGGAGCCTCCTGGCTGCCCCCAGCTCCATCACCCACCAAGACCTGACTGAGGAGGCGGCTCTCAACATCACTCTGCAGCTCTTCCTGGAGCAGCCGCCCTCAAGTCGCCCCCCTCTTCGTCTTAAGGACTTCCTGGTGAGCGTCCCTTGGTCCTGTCATGTCACATCCCAGCCAGATTGCCCCATCCCTTGGGACCACTCCTCCTTGCCCTGATTGCCAAGAGAAGGGACCCTTCCTTCTCCCTCCAGTCTCTACCCTCTGCTGCAACAACACGCAGGAGCCTTGGTCCTGAAATCAGGAGTCCCCCGTCCTTAGAAAGGTCCAGGATTGCCCCGCCCTCATAGGGCCAGCACCCTCAATTCCTTCCACACCCAGCCTTGAGTGCCAGTTGCTGAGGAAATGGGGACAATGGCCCAATTCAAAAGCTTCCCTGGGGCTCCTGTCCCCTACCACTCTCTCAGGGCCGCACCCTCCTCGCCGATGACCTCTTTGCGGCCTACTTTGGACCTGGGTCCTCTTCCCGGCGGTTCCGAGCAGCCTTAGGCGAGGTGTCTCGTGCCAATGCAGCCCAGGACTTCCTGCCAACTTCCAAGAACGACCCTGACCAGCACTTTGATGCTGAGAGGCTGGGCCAGGGACGAACACGCCTGGTGGGGGCTCTTCGGGAGGCTGTGGTGGCAGCCAGAGCCTTTGACAACACCCTGGCCCGCCAGCGCCTGGGGGCTGCACTCCATGCCTTGCAGGTGAGAACAGAGTTTGGGTAATGGTCAGAGGGCTTTTCATTGCCAGCCTTTCTGTGCCCCAGATGGTCCTCCTGAGCCCCTGCTCTAGAAGGGATTGGGGTACTGCCCCAAAGGCCATGAGGCTACTCCCTACTCCCCACCTCCAAACTGGCACCACTTCCTTGTGGGAACAGCGGGGATCCCACTGCAGCTGCAGAGCAGTGAGGGTGAGAGAGGAAGGCGCTGAGGTCAGAGGTGGCCACTGAAAGACCTGTGGTTGGACCTGAGGAGATGGGGAGAAACACTGGGAGATTTCCACCTTCGTGACGCTCTGGCCTGGGCAACAGGAAGGGAGCAGTGGAGGGGCCTTGGGGGTGTCTGACAGGAGTAGTAAGGGTGTGAGGTGGCTTTCCCGGTGGGGAACTCAAAGGAGTGGTGAGCTAGGGCTGGAGATTGTGAGAACAGACTCGCGCCTTGTTTCCTTTCTCCTCCTTTCCCTGGGACCAGGATTTCTACAGTCACAGCAACTGGGTGGAAATGGGGAAGAAGCAGCCACACCCTCACCTCCTCTGGCCACGGCAAGAGCTCGGGAACCTGGCACAAGGTATGGCCATGACCCCAGTGGCTGGGGGATGCCCACAGAGCCACCTCTTTTCAGCCCACCCAGCTACCATATCATATCCAGAGGTCAGATAGGATGTGACACCGCTTCATCTCTGGAACGACCTGTGAGGTCTCCCAGCTTACCCAAAGGCCAGGTCAGTTTGGAGGCTTCCCTGAAGTCACACAGGGAAGGACAGCCAGGAGTAGTATGCAGACCTCAGTTGAGTTCTCTCTGTTTCAGTCGGCTTCCACCCCCAGTGGCTCTCACAGGGCTTTCTCTCACAGTTCCCTCAGCCTTCCAACTGAACAATGACCCAGAAGCTGCCTTTTGTCCATTACAAGTTCACTTCCTGTCCACAACTCACAGAGGGCACAATCCCCACAGGATTGGTCCCCACACTTCTGGCTTTTCTAGCACCGTCCCAGTCTCAAATATTCAGCACCAGCCCATGAACTCCAGGTTTTAGTTCAGAAAGCCTAGAAGGGTACCTATGAAGGCAACCTGTGGGCTTTCACCTTATTCCAACTTGGAGGAAAAGCTGAAGAAGTTTGGGTGGACAGGGATAAGGGTCAGGAGCAGCAGAATCTTGGGTTCCAGACCTCGGCCCTTTCTTCCCAGTGGGAGATCACACCTGCTCCGACTGTGACAAGTTGAGCTGCCCTGGGAATTTGCTGGGCTACACACTCCTCACCTCGGGCTACTTTGGAACTCTTCCCTCCAAGCCTCCAGGTACCAGACAGGAAAGCCCCCAGAAGTAAGGGAAGAAAGTGACCTCCTTTGCCCTGACCCTGTCCTGAGGGATCTCAGTCCTCTAGGCCCTTGCCCCACTTTCTGTAAGGAGAGGATATTGGGAATAGGGTGGGTGGATGAAGGCCCCTGAGGTGGTCATGATTTGTTGGGGGTGGGGAGCAGCTTCTTGCTCAGCTAATAAGACTTCTCCATTGCCCGAGGGCACCTCCTGGGGACTGACTGGAGGGCTCAGAGGACCCATCATGTGCTGTGTGACTGACCCCTCCAGATTTGCCCTCCACAAAATGTCATCACTTCCTGCTGATCCTTTGCCGATCAGTGAGAGGGGCAGGCCAGGTCAGAAAGGGCCCCATTTTCTTAGGAGGCAGTGGGTTGTTTTTTTTTACCTCCACCCTCCAGATCCCTTTTCCCAACCCAGGAAAATGTAGCCATGGGGGCCATTTTGACCAGAGCAGCTCCCAGCCACCACGAGGAGGCATCAACAAGGATAGCACGTCCCCAGGCTTCTCCCCCCACCACATGCTGCACCTCCAGGCTGCAAAACTGGCCCTTCTGGCCTCCATTCAGGCCTTCAGCCTCCTGCGAAGCCGCCTGGGAGACAGGGGTTTCTCCAGGTGAGTGGCCTCCTGGACATGGGCTCCCTAACGGGTAGGTGCTCCTGGGGCAGCTGAGAATAGAAGCCAGGTGCTGGGAACAAATGTGCAGACCCTTCACTGTGTCTCTGTCCTGCTCCCCAGGCTGCTGGACATCACCCCAGCCTCCAGCCTAAGCTTCGTCCTGGACACCACAGGCAGTATGGGTGAGGAGATCAACGCTGCCAAAATCCAGGCTCGCCGCATTGTGGAGCAGCGACGGGGCAGCCCCATGGAGCCGGCCCACTATGTCCTGGTGCCTTTTCATGACCCAGGTAACTGTAGTCTGGCCAGGATAGTGGAAGAAAGGAAAGTCCAGGGCAAGGGGTTAATGGTGGGGCAGTGGTCCTCATGGTGGTTCCTATGGTCCTGAGTGAGCCTTTCCTGTGTGCATATAAGAAATAACCAACTTCTTCTTCCACTGCCTCCAAAATGGCAACACTTTACATATGGGTTTAATTATGATCCATGCTTAGGCAGATGGCTTCTGCTTTCTTAGGCTTTGGTGCTAATAAGTCATTTTCAATTCTCTCCATTTCCTGTAGTTAGAGGTTGAGATGAGGATGGGTGTTGGTGGTTTAGGCCTCTGTGAAGTGTTTGGAACAGTTACAAGGTATTCCTTTCCCCACTGAACTGGAAGTCAGAGACAACCTGGCCTGGATCGACCAGTCTTACTGTGTGTCCTTAGGTTGGTCATCTAGCCTCTCTTTGCCTAATTTCATCATCTGTAAAATGGGTCACTACTAGCCTTATCTTGCCTATCTTCCAGGGTTGAAATGATCATCAAATAAAATGCCTGTAGGATGAAGAATTCCATAACAGCAGGGTTTGAGTCAGATTTGCTGCATAAATCTCCTAGTAGCTGGCGTTTAATAGGGCTTATCACATATTTGGTGAAGATATGAATAAATGAGTAATTAAGAATTTAGCCACTTATGTGTCAAAGCACTATTCTAACATTTACAAAATCAACTCCTTCAGTCCTCCCATAACCCTCTGAGGTAAGTACGATTATTTCTGACTTTTCTGGTGAGGAAACTGAGGTCCCAGTTGTTTTTTATACTTACATGCATACCCAGAAAGGCCCACTCAGGACCACAGGAAGTACTGCCATTTTATTAAGGAAATGAGCGCCACCTTCCCACCAGCGGTACCTTGCCCCTGCCCTGTCCTGCCCATAGAAATATAAAGGAATATTGTTATTTCAATACTTGTCCAGCCAAAGAGCACAGTGGGCCCCCTGACTGGGTAGGAATGAGGGGAGCTCTCCCCTTACTCATTTCAACCTCCTTTCCCCCTCCCCAGGGTTTGGCCCTGTCTTTACAACCAGTGACCCCGACAGCTTCTGGCAACAACTCAATGAGATCCATGCCTTGGGGGGTGGAGATGAGCCTGAGATGTGCCTGTCAGCCCTGGAGGTCTGCCCTGCCCCCCCTTCCCTTCGTCTTCCCCACTTCTCAGGCCCCACCACCAAGGGGAGCTAGAGCCTCCTTCGGACCCCACCCCCCATCCCACCTTCAGAGCCTGGTCCCACTAGCTTCACTCCAGGGTTCCAGGGCCATATTGCCTTCTACTCTGCCCTCTTTGCTCAACCCATCCCCTGCTGGCACCATTTTTAATACCAGTCCTTTCCCTCCCTGCCAGCTAGCCCTGCTGCACACACCTCCACTCTCAGACATCTTCGTCTTCACTGACGCCTCCCCCAAGGATGCCTTTCTCACCAACCGGGTGGAATCCCTGACTCGGGAGCAGCGCTGCAGAGTAAGCATAGTTGATGGGAGACCCAGTGTTAGCCACCCAGGGATGCAGGAGACCCTGTGACAATCTCCTAACAAGGTCCCACTGCACGATGGTGGTTGCACCAGCCTTGGCATCGGGTGGGAGAAGTGGACAATGAGTATAACATTCCTGATCCCTTAAACAATACTAAAGAGTGGGAGGCCCTACCCTTAATGATGCTGAATTCGTTTTTGAACCTGCCCCCAATAACCCATTTGAAGAACTGGAAATCTAGTTGCCAGTAACCGCTATGTGGATAACATATGGTGACAGTTACAACAGAGTGGCAACCATTAACTAAAGGCCGGAGGCTGTGTCATGGGGAGCCCCTGTGTAGCAGCCAGAGACCTGAGCACTAATTGTGAGCTCTGTGGAAAGCCGGAGCACAGGTGGTCCTCATTTACAATGGTAAATGGCCCATGGACGTCTCAAGTACTGGCCTTCCTGCTGGACACAGGTAACATTCCTGGTGACTGAAGACCCATCAAGGGGTCAGGGCCGAGCTCGACGTGAGGTTTTATCCCCTCTGCGTTTCGAGCCATATGAAGTGGTGGCCCTGGCCTCTGGAGGAGATGTGATCTTCACCAAAGATCAGCACATTCAGGATGTGGCAGCTATTGTTGGGGACAGCATGGCTGACCTGGTAAGTGCAGGGGACAGAGGGACCAATGCTTTCAACTCAGAACTAAGGGGATGCGTGACATTGCATTTCTCTTTCTTATATGAAAACGGGAATGGCTCTCACTGCTGTGTTGCCAGTAGGGTGTCAGAAGGGTGGGGAAGTTTCTCTCCCTCTGAAATCCATGGCCACCCACCATCCACAATGCTCCTTTTATATTAATACTGCCCCCCCCCCAATATTAGGCTCCAATTTTCTATCTTTGGAGCTACCACAGGAAGTCCTGCCATGCTTTAAGGGGAGACAAGAAATGACTGACTCATCCTTAATCCCTTGCCTCCAACTTTGTCATTGACCATAACTTCATCCCTAGTCCTATGCCCCTCTCACTGTATCCCTTCTCCAGGTGTGACTTAGTTTCTTTCTGTCTCCACCTTTCTCCTGTTTCCACCTCATTCCGTGCCTTATCTTCTTGCCATATTTTGGTCCTGCCCATCCCTCAAGGTGACCCTTCCTCTGGAACCTCCTGTTGTGGTGCCTGGGAGGCCACTTGTGTTCAGTGTGGATGGACTGCTCCAGAGGGTCACAGTCCGGATCCACGGAGAGGTCAGCAGCTTCTGGATCAGAAACCCTGAAGGTACTTCCGTGTGTGTGTGTGTCTCAAGGCAGAGGGAAGAACTGATAATGGAGAATGAGAAGTGATGTAAAGGGAAAGGAATTGATTCATGTAACAATCTCTTGCTCCCCACCCCCACCCAGGGGTCTCCCAGGGCCAGGAGGAAGGCCAGGGGCCTCTAGGTCACACTCGTCACTTTGGGCAGTTCTGGATGGTGACAATGAATGACCCCCCCCAGACAGGGACCTGGGAGATCCAGGTCACAGCCAAGGGCAACCCCAGGGTAAGAGTGCAAGGTAAGGAGGGCGATATTCCTGGGAAGGGAAGCGGAGACTATAGAGCTCAGACAGCAATGTCAGTTACATTCATCTCAGGAAGGTCTGCCTTCATCTTCCTCAGCCCAGACCTCCCTGGACTTCCTCTTCTACTTTGGGGTCCCCATGGAGGATGGCCCCCACCCTGGCCTCTACCCCCTGACTCATCCAGTTGCAGGTACATCTATTCCCCTGAACTTGTTCATTACCTTTATATTTATAAAATTCTATGTATATTTAACTTTCTATTGAATTAAAATTTACATACAACGCACACTAAACTTAAGTGTACAGCTGGATGGATTTCATATAATACACCCATGTAACCATCACTCAGTTCAAGATTTAGAATATTTCCAGCACCCCAGAACTCCCTCAATGCTCCTCAGCGGAAACCCCTTTTCCCCATCGGTACTCCCCAGAGGTAGCCCCTATTCTGAAAGCCGTTCATTCTTTTCTCCTTGTCTGCGAATCTCACGCAGACCACTGTCCTCCCCGCCCTTCCCCTGTCCCAGGTCTCCAGACCCAGCTGCTGGTAGAAGTGACAGGGCTGGGCTCCAGAGGCAACCCTGGTGATCCTCTGCCGCATTTCTCCCACGTCGTTTTTCGAGGGGTCCCTGAGGGTCCCGAGCTGGGCCGGGTGCCTTTGGTGCCAAAGGGACCCCGGGAGCGAGGCCTCCTGGCTGCCTCGCTACCGCCCATGCTTCTGTCTGCCGCTGGACCCTTCTCTCTGGAGCTGATCGGCCAGGACGGAGGAGGACGGGACCTGCACCGGGCGGCCCCCCAGTCCTGCATGGTGGTCCCCGTCCTTCTGGAGGTGAGACACTAGGGGAAGGTGTGGCTGGGGCTAGGCGGAGCAGGGAGGGTCCGTCTCTGACCCGCTCTCCTCCTCAGCTCAGTGGCCCCCCGGGTATCCTGGCCCCGGGCAGCAAGGTCCCGCTCAGCCTCCGCATCGCCAGCTTCTCTGGCCCTCAGGATCTCGATATTAGGACATCTGTCAACTCCAGCTTCGCTCTCACTTCCAACCTCTCCAGGTGAAGCCGCGGAGCGGTCCTGCTTCCTTCTGTCCCCACCTTCCGGTTCCGGGGTGAGGGGATCTGAGTCACGCCCTTTAAGCCCCGCCCCTGGCCCCTTCCGATTGGCGCCTCCTCCAGCGCTTGGCTCCGCCCCTTGACTCTCCGCTATTCGGAGCCTGGGGCTTCAGCCGGACATCTGTATCCACTCTACAGGGTTCGCCTGGAACAGAATGAATCCGCCTGGGGGCGTCTGTGGCTGGAGGTCCCAGACTCAGTCGCCCCAGACTCCGTGGTAACGGTGACTGTGACTGCAACGGGTCGAGAAGCCAGCCCAGTGGCCCCGACCTATGCCTTCCTCCGGCTCCTGGTGCTGGCCCCGGCCCCACAGGTGAGGCGCCCCCACTTTCCATCGCAGGGTAGGCAGGGCAAGAGGAGGCTTAATTTGGATGCAGACACCCTGACAGTGTCTCGCTCTAATCCACAGGACCAGCGCGCTGCCCCTGCCCACTCATCTGGCCCCTTCCTCACCACTGCCAGCCCTGCTTTGCGTCCCTCCCCTTTGGTGACTTGGGGCAGGGCTGGAGGAGGGCTGGCAGGCAACCTCTGGTGGGGCACAGTTGGAGGGGTGCTGCTCCTCCTAGGCCTGGCCTCCTGGTGACAACAGCCCCTAGGAGGAGGGATCTCCAGCGCTATTTTCAATCTTACTCCATTGGTGAGCAGGTAACATGGGCCTTGGGACCCTACTTCTCACTAGCTGGGCTGGAGGTTTTCCTTCTGGTGCACTTGTCCCTTCTCTTTTCATAGCCAGATTTTCCCACAATGCACTGTCCCTTGTCACATCCTGCGTGGCAAGGGCAAATGGGACTCGAGAGGGGCGACACAGATTGAATAAGAAAAAGAGACAAAAGTAAGATAAGAGCGAGACCAAGGGACTCAGCCAGAGAAGACTGAGCCCCGAATCGGGTCAGCGCACGGTTTTTATTTGAGAGTTTTCAAAGAAGTAAAACTGCTGTAAATTAGTAACCGTGTGTAATTGTGTGCCTTAAGGCTGTTTTCCATTAACCCATCCCATTGTATTCCAACAAATGCTATGCCTTCATACATCACCACATAGCCCCAGGACACCTTGTTACTGTGTCCTCCCAGGGGAGATAACTGATATCATTCCATCAGGTCCCAGTCATACCGAGACACCCCCTAAGAGAGCTTTACCGATATCATTCCACCGGGCCTCGGTCATACCGAGACACTCTCTCAAGACTAATAGGGTCAGGGGCTAATGCAGAGGGGGTGGTCTTGGAATCGGCTGTAAGGCAACAGTCCCTAACCCTGGTGGGAACCAAACCCAATAAACGTGTCTTCTTCCCAGAGGGATTTCAAAGAAAGATCATTTATGCACATCATACAGGAGAGTGAGGATGTAAGATGCCAAGAAGATGAAAGTTTTCAGGAGCAGAGAAGAAATTTTACACCAAGATGTTTGGACTTCAGTTGACCCACGCCCTGGAGCCATTTAGCTGTTGAATCAAGAGGCAGAATAAGGAAGCTGGGGGTTCTGACTCAGTCTCTTCTGTCACTAACTGAGTGGAATGAGAGGAGGCTTTAGACGCTGGGGAGGCTTCTGCCCCTTGAGGCTGCCCGGCCGAGCCATCTCCCCTTTTGGCTGAATGACTTCTTTCTGCCATCCTGATAACCCCTGGAGAGAAACAGTTTGGGCATCTGTGCTCTGCCCAACCCCCTCCCCTCCAGTTTACCTGTTGCTGCCACAAGTTCTGCTTCCTTGGCCTTCCCTGCCAGTCCTGGCTGGCGCAGGAACTAGCCTGTTCAAGGGACATGGGGAGACCAGGGGAGGATATTCACTCTTCTCTGTTAAACCAGTGCTGACCCCAAGCCCCCTCTCTACCACAACTTCCCAAAAGTCTAAACCAAAAACAATAAACTCACCTTCCCCTGAATCAGATTCTGCAAACCGATGTTCACCTTTTGAATCTGGCCTAACTAAGGGCCACTAGGTTCTGTAAATCTGTTAGAAAATTCTAAAGGAGAAATTGGAGGTTGACAACGTGCTGAAAACTTGAGGTCCGTCTGCCACTCTTCTATCACCACAGGCTGTTCTTTACCATCTAGATTCCCTCATCCCAGTATCCCTCCAAGGCAGGTGGGAAAATCCAATACTCTCCACTTCATCTCTTTAACAGTCCAGTTCCTCCGTCCCCCTCAAACAGCACAGTACCCCCTTTCCTTATTCTTTGTGGATCCTCCGAGTCCATCCATGATCCATTGGAACAATCCAGGCCACTCCCACATGCCAATGGAGTGATCCACATCCCATTCCTCTGAATGGAATGCAGACCAGCCTTCTCCAATCCCAACACTAAACACCAACCTAACACTGGGTGGCATCCTGTCATTACAATGCTGCTCCCAATTCATGATCCCTGCCCATTAACTCTCTCCTTTCCAGGGTGGTGTCAGGCTGTGTCCACATATCCGTCCCTGCTCCCTGTCCCCGTACGCCTTGGGGCAGCCTCATACCTCACCAAGGTCCCCCAGACGGAGCTGCTTTTGCTGTGCCTCCCTCAGACAGCCCTCGAGCCAGACCTGGCCATGCTCCAGCAGCTTCAGCCCCTGCCACAGGGCATCTTGTTCCCTCTCCAGAGCCTGCATCCTCTGCAGCTGGAGAATGCAAGAGGCAGAGGCTGTGTCACTCTAACAGGACTCTGGGCCCTGGCCTTTCTCGGAACCCCTGCTTGGGTTCACTGTCTGGTCACTGAATGTGAGCCCAGACTGGCCACTGAGGATCTGGGGGGCAAGGGGAAGCAGTGAGGAAGACTTATAAGTCCTGGAAATCGAGTAGGAATGTCGGGGGCAGGTCTAGGAAGAGGGGCTTCCCCTGGGTCCTCCTGTTGGACTAATATTCACCCAGAGGAAGAAGCTCCAGGTCCCTGGGTCTTGGTGGCTTGTCCCCAGCAGTAGTAGCAGAACCATGTAGGAGGCCTGCTCTAGGGGCAGCCCACTGGGACCGCGGCTCCCCATGGCCCTGAGGTGGTTAGGGTGGAGCCACATCCACTGGTGGTGAGGGCTGCTCCCTCTCCTCCCGTCTTACCCAGTCTTGCAGCCTCAGAGCCCTTCCTGCTGTGTCTATCTGAGGCTGGGAGTTCCCGGTACATACATGGAAAGGCCACCTGCCCTGGGCTCCTCTCTTCCCTCTCGTCTGTTTTTGTAGGGCCTGTTGAAGTTGGTTCTCATGAAGTCCCCCTGGGTAGAAACCCTGCTCCCTACAGCAGTGTCACTATTTTTTTTTTTTAAAGATTGTTAATTGGGGCATTGGGGGGATGGGAACAGTGCTGGGGAATTGGGGGTAGGGGAACAGACAAGCTGCTGTCGTTTTGTTCTTCAGTCTAGTTGTGGAGGACGTTGCTTCACTGGCCCAAGCTGGCACCATCATTGCACTCTTCCCAGCTATAGAGGGCAATGTCACTGGCCCTCATATGTGGGATCCGAACCGGGGCCCTCTGGCATCCCAAGCCAGTTCTTAACCATCGTGCCACTCGGCTGGCCCAGTGTCACTGTATTTTTAATGAAGACTGACAGGCCCCTCTGTGGACTCCTGCTTGGTGTTTCATCTCTTTCCTATTCTCTTGCTTTGTTTTGGATGGTCTAAGGAAGCAATAACTTTCTCCAAAATAAACTTTATTCCTAATATGAAACAAAAATTTCCAGGGAAACTGAGAACTCTGGGTGTGATGAAGATAAAGAGACAACGAGGGCATGACACCCCAGCGGCGTTTGGAAAGTGGAGGAGGACCGAGGCAGGGCTCTCAGAGGATGGTGGTGGCCGCAGGCAGCACTTCCCGACTCATGAAAATGTCCAGGTCCAGGCTGGCGTCTTCCAAATCCAGTTTCAGAAACTTCTCTACTAATGTCTGGCAGCTGAGGGGAGAGAGAACAGTGAGCTTTATGGGGAATGGGTAACCGAGTTCCTGAGCAGAGGGGAGAGGCTGTGGCACAGGGAAGCTGGGACCTTGAGGACTTAGGGATTCAGAAAGAAACAGTGGGTCATTAAAAGGCAAAGCGGCTCTCTGAACCCCTGAAAGGGGACAAGAACTGCAGACAACACTAGAAAGAACACATTGGGTCACCACACACTCACTTTTCCATTTGCTTCTCTTTCAGCAACTCCTTGACGGGCATGATGGGCTTTCCACTACATATCAAGTCTGAGACCTAGGAACAGGAGGGAAGGTCGGGGGAGTTGGGTAAGAAGAAAGGAAATAAGGATTGGAAATCCCACGGGCCCAGAAACCCAGGCCCCTTAGAGGAGCAGGGACAGCGGAAGGGAGCTCTGAGAGAGGTGGTTGACACGTGGATCTATCTCATCACCTCCTTGCCACGAGCAATGAGTCTGTCAGGAAGCCTGGCCTGGGCAGCTGTGTGAGAGGCATGGCTGGCGTTGGCAACACCTTCGCAAAGCTTATAGAAGAAGACAAGGTCATTGCCATCCTCACAGGTCTCCATGGTCTTAAAAGAGAATAAAAGGAGACAGTGTGACATCATCACTCTGCTTCCAGCCCTGAAACCTTTGGCAAGTCCCTGTGGTCTGTGCGAAAAGGGAAGGCACATGGTCTCTGTGCTCAGGGAGCCCCTGTTCTGATGGAGGAGACAGTCCCCAGCTTGGCTTAGGGGCCCCAGGGGGCTAGATTAGAGTCCTCACCAAACACTGCACAAGGGGCCCCTGTGGCAGCAGACGTAGCTGAATGAGGCTCAGAAAGTTGGTGGCCACAAAGATGTGGGGACACATGGGTCCAAGTGCCAGCCAGTGTCGGAGCACAGCGGCCAGAAGTGCGAGCCCATCCACCTGTGCAGAGGATGGGGTGAGGGTACAGAGCTACGGGTGCCCACATGCCCCCCACCTGCCCTGGCCTTTCCCATCTCGTGCCGTTCTGCTTCCTTCCTGCCCACACACCCCTATTCTGCTCCTGAGGGCCAGCCTCCCCCTCATGCTCCTTTATCCTCCTCCAGTTCCCCTCCTTAGCTCCTCATCAGTCTCTCCCCTCACCGTGTTGGTTCCCTTTCCGAATTCATCAATAAGGACCAGAGACTGCTGGGTGGCATTGTTCACCGCTTTTGCCACCTGCTGGGCACCAGGCGGACAAGGGAGAGTTCCGTTAGCATTGGAGGCCTGCAGCACACTGACCAGTCTGCCTGGGCAGGAAGCTGCTTGTACGTGCGCCCACCCTACTGGGTGGCAGAGTCTTCAGTGGAGAGGTGCACAGTGCCGCGTGCAAAGCAGGGCTTCAAAGGTTCCCCAGTGTAGACGGCAGGCCGCAGAGAGCATGTTTCTCCTGTTCTCATCATTTTTCAGGGAAGGAACTCCTCCCCATTACCCCTCCCCCAATCCCACCTCTCTTTTTTCCCTTTGACCTGGTTGAGGTCCATCATGAAGGTGGAGAGGCCAAGGGAGATGGATTCACAGCTGTGAATTCTGGTGAAGATGGCGTCTACTGCCCCAATTTCAGCTTCCTCTGCCGGCACGAAGCTGCCCACCAGGGCCATGAATGTGATCAAGCCTACCTGAACAGGGGAGGAGACAGGGCTTGGGGCCTGGTGGCGTGGGCTGAGGTAAAGGTGAGGCTAAAATGAGAGGTGAATAATAGCTCAAGGGAGGCTAGACACAGTTTAGTAGATGATCACAGCCCCATCTGCTCACTTTAGAATCAGTACAGAGGGACAGGGAGTGGGCAAAGGCACACGGGGGACGACCCGGACCTATGCAGAGGTGGGGGAAGGGAACTGAGGCCATGGAAAGATCTATTAGGGCATGGCTCTCCCTCAAGTAGGGAATGGCACATGTGAGGTAGAGGAGCAGAGGCTGTGGATTACGGTCTCTTCATGCCAGGCAGGGTCAGAACATAGCAGAAGAGCTACAGGGACTGGGTTGGCCGGCAGGTGGGGGATGAGATGACGGAGAAGAAGCCAGAGGCCCAGGGTGTAGTAGGATTCTCCTACCTGTTTGAGATATATGCTCTTCCCTGAGGAGTTGGGTCCAGTGATGACTTTGACCCTCCCTTTGTCCCCACCGCATTCTGTGGGGTTGGGCACGAAGGTGCGGGCACACAGTTCCATCAGAGGATGTCTGCAGGCAGTGTATGGAGAGGTACCTCACACATGGTCTGTGGATCCAGGTGGATGAAGCCCCCAGAATATGGGGCCTTGAGGCCCATCATGTCTATGCCTCTACCCGCTCAGTTCTCACCTGCCATTCTGGATTCGTACCCCAAGGAGCTGGGGGTTGTAACGGGGCCTCGAGTAGCCATACTCCCGGGCGGCACTGGCAAGAGCCAGCAGGACATCCAGGCGGGAGGCAAGGTCCAACACCCGGGTCAAGACCGCCGCCCGCGCCAGCACCTGACACTGTAGCTGGTACATCAGCAGGGTCTCCTGGTCTGAGGGTGGGTGAGGGAGGAGCTGGGGTCAGCTCCACGGCAACGTGAAGGAGAGCCAAAGAGGCCAGAGGGACCTGGAAATAGGCTTGCAGATACAGTCGGAGACATTCAGAGAAGACGCACAATCAGAGTGAGAGTGCAAGAGCAGGAAGAAAAGGAGCCTGATGGAATCATCTCCAAGCTGCCCGCCCCGCTCCGACCTTCTGCTTCTCCTCACCCCGGATGTCGCAGTGCAGGTCCCCCAGCAATGCATCCAGCTCCTTGGTTCGAGCACTGCGATAGTGTAGCTTCTCCTCTGAGAGAAACTGGGTAGAGGGTTCAAGCTGTGGGCTTTGCATCTCTTGGTCCTCATCCTCTCCCACCTTTCTAAACCCTCACCCCAACTTCTTTCTCCTTTGTCTCAGAGCTAATAAAGGTCAAAGTAAAACTACAGAAGAGAGATCCCATTTTGGGTAGTGCTGTTGGGGTAAGGCCCTTCATCAGCTGCTGATTCATTTTCCTTATCACCTCCATACAGAGGTCGAAGGTCTTACCATGAAGTCCAGTCCCTCAATCTCGAAGTCGCTGGCCTCCACCATGGAAGGTAGCCGGGGAATAGAAAGAAGGAAGCCTATCTGGGAAGAGTAAAGAGGAGAAAGAGCAGAGTGGTGTACTGGGCACCTTCTCTCCCTAGAGGGAGCAAGAGTCCTTTGCATTCCCAATGGTCCCTCAGGCAGCTAAAGTCACAGCAGGTGCTCCTGTTCCTCAGAAGTTGTCTTATCTACCTACGTGTCCTTCCTAAGCCTGTTACCTCCCCTAAAGACCTCTAGAGGTCACACCCACCCTCCTGCCCTCACCAGAGGGATGTAGATGACGCTGCATGAAGGAATACGGGAGTCCAGATTCTCCAGCTCCTTCCAAGCGACCTCAGTGAGGAAACTGGGAAGTCCCATCAGCCTTCGTTTTTCTGGGAGGGTGGAAGACACGTGAATATCAAAATGAAGATTCCTGCCAAGGTTGCTGATTATCCCCAGTTGTAGTGGCCACCTACCAAGGATGGCACCCCATCACTGCGGAGGCCCATGTTTCAGGGTTCACAGGCCCATCCACACACCCAACACTTACTCTCATCAATTTCAGGATCTATGTTGGGGAGGACTGTGAAGCGATTTGCATTAAGACTGCCCTCAAAGTCCACCTGAGGAGACAAGAAGTCCAGTCATTTATCATTCAGCACCATCGCTTGGTCCTGTTCCTCACCAATTCTTGGGCCCCAGTTCTCCCTGCAGTCCCTGCTTTAACCCTAACCCTAACCCTCTAAGTCACACCCCTGAGTCCTGCCGCCCCCTTTCACCATCCCATTCTTTAGTCATCCAGCTGACCTCGACGTCCCCCATGCTTCCCCATCTTCCACACAAGAGCCCAGTCACTCTCCATTCTCCAACCCCATCTCTTGTCCCTAGGTCCCCAGGGACTTAGCCTTTTTCTTTCCACTCACCACTTTCCCAATGAGGCTGGTGATGTGATGCAGGTCATCAGAGAACTCTTGGGCAATGTCCTTAAAGAGCTGGATGGACTGGGGCAGGGAGCGACAAGCATCCCTCAGGCCCAGGGCACTGTACACAGTCTGTAGGAGACATGGAC